ACCCCTCCCGGAGGTGAACTCATTGTTGGACCAAATATCGCCTATAGGTGAGTTTAAGCGTTCTTTTGGGAAGTCTGGTGTCATGAAAAAAACTCAACCTGTGGCTGAAAGACTTTCAAACTGAAGTCAGGTTTTCAGACAAGGGATTCCAATCCTCACATGGCAATCAAGAGAAAATGCTGACGATCAGATTGACAATTTCGTTCTTGAATGGAAAGCAACTACTGAAAGGGAATGGAGACAGCACAGAAATCCCGTGAGCAGCTCAAATTCGATTTTCCAGATTTCTTTCCTCATTATATCGCGCTACAGTAATCACAGCCATACGAGCTCAATGCGCGAAGGTGGCCTAGTGGTAAGTGATACAGCTACCATGTGCGGGGTCCGAGATTCAGATCTAGGATCGGCTCCTGCTCGGGACAACCAAGCCTCCCATCACTCTGGCCTGGGGATCAAGACAAAGCACTGACTTATACACAAGACCGTCCTATAAGTCATTCTACGGCTATATCACTACCACTAAATAAAAGGGTAAATTCTGCGCCGTTAATTTCTCCCTTTGTGGGATGCGGCACGCATTCTACTTCCATTCAGAATCGTAGTGGCTTATTGAATGCGATGTGGCCTATACAATGACTTGCGGTGGCCAGCCGATGTACAAGTCAGTGTTTTATCCTCCCAGACGAATCTGGTACCAATTTACCGTCCCCGGGGGTAGAAGGCTTGGTCGGAGACGGTCCGGAATTTGAAATGGACCGTGCGCGGTAAGCGTGTCGTTTGCCACTGCACCACCTCCATCCCATCGCGTCCTATATACCACTAATTTTGCATGGAAGTATGTGGAATGCGTGGCTCATCCCAAGCAGGGCACGTCGGGGATCCTAACGGGATCGCATTTGGTTGCTGGAGGGGAGAAAGATGTCTTCAGCAAAATTTTCTTCCAATGCCATGACGTGCCGTGATCCCAAATGATGATTCTGCGCGTTATGAGGTACAGTCTTGTTCGCTGCCGATGATGGGGCGTGTCGGTGAGGTGATTTTGGCGCCCCGCCAGCCAGTTCCTCACCATTTTTTTAAGGCGAGATAACTGAAAAACGACTGATATTGTACCACCGCCCCGCGCTCCAGTTGCGCGGAAAAGGCTTGCCGCCTTCGAGCCCAAATCCACTAAAACAGTCAGCAGCGAACAGGAGTGTACTGTCCAATTCCCTATCCTATTAGTTTCCACACCTTGCGCACGCACATCCTTGCCGTCCTTCGAGTGACCCGAAGAGAACTTAGAGAAATTCTGCAGCCCGGAACGATCTGCTACTGCGTCGCACCCCCAGCCCCATGTAGGAGTCTTCCCTTCCAGCGCCTCGATGCCTCGCCGCCTCTTGCCCAGCGGATGTATCAGTGCACGGCCGGTGAAACCCTCGTTCATCAGGGGCAGTGTTAGAGGCGGTATAAGAACAGAATTGAAAGCATCTAAAACTTGGGAAACACAAGTGCCCCGGAATGCGGTAGCAGTGATTCCTCGGACTGCGAAGTCTTAATGTGAGAGAAATCATCTCTCGCGAAAATTCGACCAGTAGTATTCTTTAGTCCCGGAAATATAAGTGTCATTGTCCATATGTCCTTTGGCCAGGTAAACCTAAACAACAAACATCTTCAACCAAGTAAACACTTCAAGTGAAATGTTCAGATCCCGTTCTCGGGCTGGCAGCGACCATATACCATCGATCTTGGCGAGCTTCCAAAGGGACATACCTATCAGGTCTGATTACAAACGCCAGTTCAGCGTTGAAATGGATTGCACACCATAGAGGGACTTTAGGTACGCGTGGTCGTCAAAGACAGGAACCACAATGTCGCTTTCACATCACCAGTTGTTCAAGTCCAGACGCAGTCTGCTTGCCAACCTCCAAGACGAGCTCCTACCAACCTCCAGGTAACCCTTCTTTGTAATCAAGAACACGGCTTTCCAGCTTAACTTTCCGTCTTTTAGGTGTCACCTATCGGTCCCACACAGATCAGACTCACTTGGGCTCCACTACACGAGGCTGAATGGAACTGCGATCGCATCTGGTATATTGTCAAATATAGCACGCCAAGGAATCAGGGTTTCAAAAATCTAACCCAAGGAGAGAATTCTGTCGTGTTCGAATCGGATCCTTACACCAAGTAGGTTACGTTCTTGTACTGTGCCGTCCTTTCGGTTGCTCATTGAAAACCAAACCGTTATAGGTGGAGCTTCGAAGTCCAGGCGGCCAACCCAGCTGGAGAAACTCAGTGGTCCCGCACGGAGACCGCTCAGACTCAGGTTAGCTTGCCTTTTATCTGATAGAGCCAGCTGTTAAATGCCTAAAAGGGGCGTGGCCGAGGGGCGGAGCTAATGTGGGTACTAGAGAAATTGTCTCTTTACGTGTAGATTGTATCAGTGAAAAGATCACTAAAAACGGATGTCAGTGAATAAAGTTATAAAAAGGCGAATTTTTCAGCAAATTCATCAATAAGTGGGTGAAGCCATCGGGGGCGGGGTCAAGTATACTATTAAATAAGTTTGTATTCAAGGGATGTACATGTGTAATGGATGAAAAGGGTAAAGAACCCATATAAATGCAGTTAATGATGTATAATGTGTGTGGTGTAGGTGTAGATCATGTTTCCGGCAAGAAGGGGCGTGGTTATCTGGGGGCGGAGCATGTTGTGGAGGTCTATGCAGTGTGTGAGGTGCGGCTTCGCGCAAGACTGGGAAAAAAGCCGCTTCGCGGGAGAATCCCGAAAAAGCTTCTCCCCCTTCCTCATCCATCATTATTACTCTTCTTTCAGGATGCCTCACCTGGCCCTGTGGTCGACCTACGAGTGCAGCCAGTTGGACCTGATCGGCTGCAAGTCAGTTGGAGACCTCCAATAAATCCAAATGGTTTGATCACTCAATATGAAGTCACTTATCAGCTTGATAAGCAAGTGAGTTTGTTAAGATTCCCAAATGGGAGAGCACCAGAATGATCTGCGTTTCTCCATGGAATTTTGCCCGTTTCAGAGGTATGTGTGACCAGCAGCAGGATGCGCCAAGGACCTTGTCTGTCACTTCGCCTAATCACGTAATCACTGGCCTTCATCCCCATTCGCGCTACCGGTTCGTGCTCCAGTTCATCTCACACAGCCTGTGTCATCTGGCACTGTCTCACATTCCTTCTTGCAGGGTTGGCGTTGCAGCGAAGACGACAATCGCTGGTGAACGTGTCTCGCAAGAAGTGCAGACCGAACAGTCAGTACCGTCTGCCCCGCCTGTCTACCTAAGAGTTGAAGAAGTCAGAGAAACGGACGCCAGCGTAAGCTGGCAAGCTCCACCTTGTCTACAGGTGAGTTGCACTCCTCCATATTGTGGTAGAGAGGGAAAAGGTCGTAATTGCAGACCAATGGCGAGATCACAGAGTACGAATACGAGGTGACACCCGCTGATCGACGAGCTGCTCCTCAAAGAATTGCCAATAATGTTCGTGGAACCAGAGCTCAGATTACTGGTCTCCAGCCTTTCACCAGATACAACATCAAGGTTCGTTCCTGACGTCAAGTCAGCCTCATTCGCGAGCTTACCGGATTCTGAGCGCCACCTCATTCATGACATTTTCAGGTTCGCGCGTTCACAAGCCGCGGTCCTGGCCCGTGGTCCTCAGATGTTCCATTCCAAACTGCAGCTGCCCAGACTGTCACTGTGAGAAATTGACTTTTAAGTTGTAAAATTTGCCTGTCAGCTATTTTTCTGCTTCAGGCTCCACCATTCGTGAGGGTCATCAATACAGGTGCAGACAATGCCCATGTGGTCTGGCAGTCCCCCCATCCGCAGACTGGTTACATCGATAAGTACAAGTGCAGGTACTCGCCAGCTGGCTCCCAAAACTATCAAGTAAGTCGGTCAACCTGACTCTGTCCGACGGCCAGCAGACTCATTGCCATCTTCAGGAACGACAATTCCCAGCTACCAGCCCTTGCCAAGCGAGAATCCTGGAGAGTCAACAGTTGCCGACGCCTCCGCCAGGGACGAGGATGCATTGCGGACGAATTGACAATTTGCAGCCAGAGCAGACGTACGACTTCCAGGTAAGAAAGTAACCCGGGAGTTTTGTATGAAAGGGAGAGTCACCTATAAACTGTGTCTGTCCAGGTGGCTGCTCACGTAACTGACCGTGGATGGTCGCCATGGTCACAACCTGAACGAACCAAAGTCACTGACGAA